GTCCTCATAATAATAATGTAGGCACAAGGGTCACATTGTTCTTTAATCTCTATTATGAGACCATTTCTTTCTCTCAACAAGCTGTCAGTTTTTCAATCATGTCCCAGTTACATCTATCATACAGATGATGGATGTTAATAACCACAGGCAAGGATACATTAGGTCACGTTTAATACATCTGCACCCTATTATTAAATTATGGTGTATAAAAAGACAATTCAACCCAGTGACTTGAATAGCTTTGCCACACCTAGAAGCTTCCTGAGTATTCTGGCTGCGTTCATTGCACCCTTTGTTTCCCTTTGTTCCCTCCGTTTTAACACTAGATAACAGTGCAGTCCCATTTTGGAATCTCATCCAGGAGTGGAGGCCTCCAGCTGTAAGATGCCAGCTCTGCAGGGGTTCAGGTTGAGAGAACTACGGTGGAATGATGTTTTTAAACAAGATAATAGGACTCTTACTGAGTCAAGAGAAAAAACGCTTCCTATGAAGGAGGAGTATGTCTTTTTTGTGTGTTTCAAAGGCACCTATCTCTATTTTCGCGGCAAGCTTTAATTGGACTGCACAGCGTTCGGCTCAGGAGGGAGAGTGACTGAAGGCACAACAGGCATAAATCCTAATTCTTTTGATTTTTAGTCCGCGTCGGGGACGCTCAATGAGAATTGTTTGAATTTTAATGAAAGCATTCTGGGAGATGAAAAGAGATGGATCAATGAGTTTGAAGTGAACGGCACAAATATGTTCTTGCGGACTGATGGGGTTGAGGTGACGGGGTTTTGTTCATTTCTCTGGAAACTATTTTCTCTGTTGAACTTTCCTCTGATCCCCGTAGGAGACCTGTCTGCAAGAAGAGACTCCAAAGGCAAAGCACGACTTGTCACCTATAAGGATTAAAGTGGTGGGTGTTATGTTAAACCAGATTTTATTTTTTTCTATTGCTCTACTTTTGTTTTTTAACTTATATATCACTGTTTAATGCTTAGGTAACTTATATTGACTGTGTTGGAGTTTTGTAATATGGTTGCATGAATTTTAGCTTTTCATCCCGGTGTCTCTATGACCGTATTCAGATAAATTCGATTTTTTTTATCATTTGGCTGTGTGGTCGCAGCCTGGGGGGGGG